TGTATTATTTTAAGCCTTATGTTTTGGGCTGGTTGTTATATTAATAAGCAACTGAAACAAAAATTAGTACCAGAAGTGGGGTGCTACCATCACGACAACCTAAAATATGTTGCACCAGCTTTTATTTTTTATTTTTATTTTTTACAGACGGGGTTTCACCATGTTGGTCAGGCTAGTCTTGAACTCCCAACCTCAGGTGATCTGCCTGCCTTGGCCTCCAAAGTGCTAGGATTACAGGCGTGAGCCACCACACCTGGCCTTTTTTTCTTTCTTTTCTTTTTTCTTTTTTCTTTTTTTTTAAGAAACAATATCTTGCTATGTTGACCAGGCTAGTCTCAAACTCCTGGTCTCAAGTGATCCTCCCACTCTGGCCTCCTAAAGTGCTGTGATTACAGGCATGAGCCACTGTGCTTGGTCAGTTGCACTGGCTTCAGGAATGAGTGGCAGGCAGAAGTTAGATGGATAGGGAAGAAGCCGTTAGTGAAGGCAGGAAGAACAGTGAGGAAATTGCTATTGGAAGCTGAAGAAAGGGGAACTTCTGTTGTGTATCGGCTATCACCTGTGGTAACTTAGAAGCCAGGAAAGATATCTAACATAATTGTGAATTTAGCTAATGATATTTCTAGGCAGAATGCTGAAAATGCCAATTGTATATTTTAGTTGCCTAAGATAAGGCATTTCAGGAGAGAGATGAACTAAAAAAGGAACAGTTCAATTTTCAAGCAGAATTTAAAGAAAATATTTCTAAAAGGACTTGCTAATTTAAAAAATAAAACCTTTTACTCTATGTTGCTAATTTTTCAGAAGACAAAACCAAAACCAAAACCAAACCTTTTTCTTCATGTTGTACAGATAGAACAAAGAAAAGAAAACTAACAACAAAATTCTTTTTCATTCTTCCTCTCTGACAAAAGGCTTTTAAAGTAAGAAATCACCTCAAGGCAAAAATCAAATCCCCGGCATTTCCAGTAATACAGGGCCTCAGAGTGAAGATCAAAACAAATAAAGGGTCAGCTATAAAACCTTTTGTTAGCTGGCCATGGGAGCACATGTCTGTAGCCCCAGCTACTCAGGAGGCTGAGGCAGGAGGATCCCTTGAGGCCAGGAGTTTGAGGCTATAACGCATATTACTGAGGCTGGAAATAGCCACTATACTCCAGCCTGGGAAACATAGTGAGACCATCTTTAAAAAACAAACCAAAAAAACTCTTTGTTTGTTAAGATCTAACATCTTTTTGAGATCTAAAATTAAAGATGATGTTCTTTAAACCCTTGCAACTACACAAACGCACTTCTAAACATCCTAAAGGTGTTATCCAATGACAGACTTGTCACCTAAAGAAGGGTCTGTCTTGATAGAATGCAGTGCCTTCTGTGTAACTGAGTAGACTACAATTTATTATTTACAGGGCCAACAGAGTTCTAAAGAAAAGTTTAATACTGAAAGCAGCACCAGTTTGGACTAAAAGGGAAAATTCAAAATAAAAAGAGGTCTCTGGGCCCCCAACACTGGTCAAAAAGTAGGCTGAGCAAACTACTTAGCTGCAAACACAGATAATTTCCTATTTATTTAAAAGGAAAGACATCTCAGCAGGTAGAGTGTCAAGGACTGAGAGGGTGGATTTGGAAGTCCAGGAGAATAGTTGTGAGCAATGGGAAATACCAGGGAGCAGAACCAGGTTGTAACTAACCAAGGGCATTCTGGATTTGGAGTGGACCTAGGTATTTGCCTGGCTGAATATAAGAAGTTCTTTGTTCTTTGTTTTTGTTTTGTTTTGTTTTGTTTTTTGAGACAGATTTTGCTCTTGTTGCCTAGGGTGGAGTGCAATGGCACAATCTTGGCTCACTGCAACCTCTGCCTCCTGGGTTCAAATGATTCTTCTGCGCCACCACACCCAGCTAATTTTTTTTTTTAATTTTTATTTTTAGCAGAGACGGGGTTTCTCCATGTTGGTCAGGCTAATCTTGAACTCCTGATACCAGGTGATCTGCCCGCCTCAGCCTCCCAAAGTGTTGGGATTGCAGGCATGAGCCACTGCGCCCAGCCTGAATATCAGAAGTTTTATGGATCAGTGACTGCTCTGTGTCTCCTACTCTCCTATATCCCATTTGAACAGGAGTATCTATTATGTTTATCCTGTCTCTGTCTGAGCATTGTATGTTAAGTGCATGGGAGGCAGAGAGCTTGTATTTTTAGGACACAGACAGTGGTATGCTGGTAAATGTTTTTTTTTTTTCTTTTTTTTCTTCCCAATCATTTTACTATGTACCAAGATAGCTGGTAAATGTTTAATAACTTGTCTCCAGGGGAAAAAATCAAAAACCCAGATTTGCAGTCTTTGTCAATTTCTATAGTATAAATTCTCCCACCATGGCTGATTTCAAGCTGCTAATGTGACATCACTGAATGCTGAGCTGGGAGAAGATGTTCACAATCAGCTTTCATAAGTCAGTATAAACCAGGGCTAGGACACTACGGAAGGCCCCGGCACTGAAGAAATGTACCAGAGGAGCCTCACCTATATTTGCACTTAATTCAGGTGATGAGATGCTGGACTTCAAGCCTGATCCTGATGCCATAAAGGGATGAAAGTTTGATGGAGGTAGTTGGGAGAGGGTAATTGTATTTTGCTTGTGGGAGGGATATAAATTGTTAAGGGCCAGAGGGCAGACTTTAGTAGACTGCTAGATTGGTAGCCCCCAATAAATAGTACCTCATGGCTTTCATGCTTTCATGTAGTTCCATCTCACAGTGACTGATTCTGGGCTTGGCTACACTGACTTGCTTTGTCAATGGAACATTAGCAAGTAAGGTGTATGTAGAAGTTTGACAATAATTTACACATTGAAATTATCCTCTTGGAATATAGCCACTATTCTCTAAAGAAGCTTGGGCTAGACCACTGAATGATAAGCTTCATGGAGAGAGGCTGTTCTGGACTGAACATTTGTGTCCCCTCAAAATTCGTATGTTAAAATCTTAGCCCCCAAGTGATGGTATTAGGAAGTGGGGCCTTTGGGAGGTGATTAAGTTATGAGGCTGGAGCCCTCATTAATAGGATTAGTGCCTTTATAAAAGATTTCCAGAGAGCTGCCTCTCCCCTTTCCTCCATGGAAGGTTACAGAGAGAAAAGGACCTTCACCATAATCCCCTCATGGGCAGGCACTGACTCTACCCACTAGTTCCTGCTCCCTCCCACTTTAGCATTCACAGTGTTTTACCTGTGTTAGCCCATATACCTCAACTATCCTATTATCCCCATTTAACAAATGAGAAAACTATTAACCACCAGGCCAAACAGCTAATAAATGGCTGAGCAAGAATCTGAGCCCAGGCTATCTAGTTCCAGTTCAAGCTGCTTAAAACAGGTAGGGGGTGGGGGGTAGGGGTTGTGCTCACGCCTCTAATCCTAGCACTTTGGGCGGCTGAGGTGAGCAGATCACTTGGGGTCAGGAGTTCGAGACCAGCCTGGCCAACATGGTGAAACCCTGTCTGTATTAAAAATACAAAAATTAGCTGGGTGTGGTGGCATGAGCCCGTAGTCTTAGCTACTCGGGAGGCTGAGGCAGGAGAATGGCTTGAACTCAGGAGGTGGGGGGTTGCAGTGAGCTAAGATTGTGCCATTGCACTCTAGCCTAGGCAACAAAGTAAAACTCTGTCTCAAAAACAAAAAACAAGAGGGAATGAGGGGCCAGAAATGGGAAGGGTCTTCCAGACCTAAGAAAGAGCTTGCAAAAGGCTCAATTTGCATTTTCTAGAGTCCTGGCTTAGAATTCCTTATCTGTTCAGTATATTCTCCAACTATTCCCCTGTCTATGGAAGTAACTCTCTCTCCTCTTTCTTGTCTTTTATCCATCTCTCTTTAATTAATTAATTAATTTTAGAGATGAGGGTCTCACTCTGTTGCCCAGGCTGGAGGGCAGTGGTGCAAATATAGCTCAGTGCAGTCTCAAACTGGGCTCAAGTGATCCTCCATCTCAGCCTCCCAAATAGCTGGGACTGCTGGTGCACTCCACCGCATCCAGCTAATTTTTAGGCTGGAGGCGGTGGCTTGTGCCTGTAATCCTAGAACTTTGTGAGCCCAAAGCAAGGAGATTGCTTAAGCCCAAAAGTTCAAGACCAACCTGGGCAACATGAGGAAACCATGTCTCTACAAAAAAATGTAAAAAAATTAGCCAGGCTTGGTGCCACAGGCCTGTAGTACTCCCAGCTACTTAGGAGGTTGAGGTGGGAGGATCTCTTGAGCCTGGGAGGTTGAGGCTGCAGTGAACCACGTGACCATACCACTGCATTCCAGCCTAGGTGACAGAGCAAGACTCTGTCTCAAAAAAAAAGTTTTTTAAACAGAGACAGGGTCTTGCTATGTTGCTCAGGCTGGTCTAGAACTCCTGGCTTCAAGTAATCCTCCTGCCTTCCGAGTAGCTGGGATTACAGGCATAAGCAACTGTGCCCAGCCCCTTTATCCATCTTTCAGAGTCCCATTTTGACCTTGTTCTCTGATATGGGGACCTGAGGTATACATGGGAACACGACATATGGAGAGGTATTACAGTCTTGGTGTTTTATTTTTTCTTCTTTTACTCAAATGAGGCATCTGGAGGAGAGGGGAAGGGAGGGGCTAGATCCTGGGGTCAGAGAAAGGAGAGACTCCTTAGCTTCCAGCTGCTGTGTGCAGGCCCAGGAAGTGGATGGGCTCACACCACAGCCTGTGGGTTTGTGGGGCCTGCAGAGAGAGGAGCCAGAGGAGATGACGGCAGTCGGTCTCAAAAGAAGTGAAATTTACCAGCTTTACAGTTGCCTATTGGTCAGGTCTGGGTACCAGAATGAGCCCCAGGAGAATGTGGGGGTTGTGGAATACCCAGAATAAGGAGATTATAGCCTGTGGGAGGCAGGGGTTGGATGGTTTTTGGGGAGGGAGTCAGAAGTAAGACTGGTGAGGAAACTTTTCCTTTCCTTGAGAGGTCAAGTTCTGGGGAAGAGCTACAGACCAGGAACCCACCTGTCTTGGCAAAACTGATGATTTCACATTCCTGTTCCCTGTTGTCCTCTGGAAGTGTCCCCTGTGGGAGCCGGTCGAGGCGCTGCAGTGCGGTCCTCAGAGCAGCTCTGGACACAGGATGGTTCAGTGTCGGGCGCTGGCGGAGGTGCAGCTTGTTCAAGATGCTTCTCTTGGCCAGGTCAAGAAGCAGCTCCCGCTGGCTCTCCAGGTCCAAGGTGGGCCCCCCACATGCTGGACACTGGCCACCAGCTCTGGGAGTGGCCGCTGCAGTTGTAGCCAGGAGGAGAAAGGCCAGGAGCAATGAGGAAGTCATTGCTGGGGAGGCCCTTCTTGAGGAACACAGACCCAGGGCTCAGGGTCTCAACAGCTGTGGTCTCAACTCTGTCCTGGCTGCCAGGAGTCCTGGAAGAAGTGTATGTCCAGCTGGCATGGCTGCTTGTTGCAGGGGATAGAGCAGCTGCCAAACATCTGACTTGAAAATGAAGCCAGTTACAGGTAGAACTTGGCAGAACCTGCCAATGCATAGTTAGTGAAAGTACAGAGTGGGGGATGTGAGGAGAGGTTGGTTTGTTTAGGGTAAGACGTGTCCCTGGGCCAATGTTGGGAGAGAGTTGTTATCCATGTGAGGTGCCAGGCCTGGGGACAAAGGTGAGAGAGTAAATTCCTCCTCAGATCACTATCCTTGCTGGGAATCCTGGGAGCGGGGGAAAGGGACAGATCACAGGTTTTAGGAAAGAATGTTAAAGGGAGACTCTCAAACGAGAAGGAGTCATTGGCAGGGCACTTTAGCTCACTGTCATGCATGAACAACTGAGAGTTGCATTATTTTTTGCCTGGCATTTCTCAAAGCCCATCCCTATCCCTCCATCCTCCCTCCCTGGGGTTCTCAATTCAGTCTTATTTGTTAGCCCTGGTTGAGTTTTGCTCAAGAGGTCTCAAAACCATGAAATCTGAAGGTTGAGGGAAGGGAGGCACAGTGTCCTAGGCATGTTTTCAATGTCCTCAGAGGGAACTCAATGTGGCGAAAGGGCTTGAGATCTAGATGTGCTCACCCTTCGGGTTTTTTTTCTATCTAAGAAAATAAGTTTTGAGATTTATTTATTTATTTATTGAGATGGAGTCTCACTCTGTCACCAAGGCTGGAGTGCAGTGGCACAATCTCAGCTCACTGCAACCTCTCACTCCCAGGTTCAAACAGTTCTCCTGCCTCAGCCTCCTGAGTAGCTGGGGTTACAGGTGTGTGCCAACATGCCCGGCTAAGTTTTGTATTTTTAGTAGAGATGGGTTTCACCATGTTGGTCAGGCTGGCCTCAAACTCCTGACCTTGTGATCTGCCCACTTCAGCTTCCCAAAGTGTTGGGATTACGGGTGTGAGCCACCGCACCTGGACTCCCAACTTGTTTCTAATAGTGTGGTGGTAAAGAGCAGATTCTGAAGAGAAACTGCTTTGGTTCAAAATCAGGGACTTTGGTTTAACTATTGTGCCTCAGGTTTCCTCATCTATAAAACAGGTATAATAATAGTACATATTGTAATGAGGATTTGATAGTAACAATAAATGTAGAGTGCTACACATTCTATATTATATTTACATACACATAATACAAATACTAGCTATTGCCTCCCTCCTGGTTACCACTGCCTGGTCTGGAACTCCTGAGCTCAAGCCATCCATCCACCTGCTTTGGCCTTCCAAAGTGCTAGGCATGAGCCACTGCGTCTGGCCAAGACAGAAGTTTTAAATCGTGGTGAAAAGTGGCAGGTTAGATTAATTCAGTTCAGTTTTTAGTTGTATTTTTCTTCCCGTGTTGCTGTTCTTCAGAGGGTTGAGAGAATTTTGGGGCAGCAGGCAGTGATGACCAGGAGAGAGGGTTGGGCACGGTGGCTCACACCTGTAATCCCAGCACTTTGGCCAGGAGTTCGAGACCAGCCTGGCCAACATGGCGAAACCCCATCTCTACTACAAATACAAAAATTAGCTGGGCGTGGTGGTGCATGCCTGTAGTCCCAGCTTATTGAGAGGCTGAAGCAGGAGAGTTGCTTGAACGTGGGAGGCGGAGGTTGCAGTGAGCCGAGATCACACCACTGCACTCCAGCCTGGGTGACAAAGCAAGACCCCATCTCAAAAACAACAACAATCCAGAACTTGCTCATCCTTGAAAGAAAAATGAACTTCATGCCTCTATGACTTTGCTGGAATCTCCATTCTTTACCTCTCTAGTGAACTATTTATATTCTCAAGATTAGCTGGAATTTCTTCTGTAGTTTCTCTGTAACTTAGTCTCTTTTACCTCTAAGAATGAATTGCTGCTCCTTGTGTTTCTTTAACACATTGAAACTGTACTTCTAGCATTTAAACTGTACTATAATTAGACTTTTTTTTTTGCCTACCACAGTTCCTGTCACAAGGTAAATATTTAATGGTTGACGTCTACAGAAGTAAGCCTACATTGCTTCTTTGAGGGAGTTTGGTCAGTAAATCGTCCACACACAATCAATAACTAAATTGATTCTCCCTAGAACGGAAAGAAGAGGGGAGGTTGGAAATTGAAGATGATTTTTGATAACTGTATCTTAGAGAGGGACTGATGGTAGGAATGTGATCTTAATAGTACAGACTGAGTTCCTCCTAGGTCAGTTTTTTTCATCTGTAAAATCGACATTTACCTGTCGAGCCATCGTTATCCATGTGTACAACAAATACTGATTATAGGTTCTTTTGGTACAGGGGTAACTGTCCTAAGAGAAAGGCTGTTTTGAAAGTGCTCTGTAATTGAAATTACTTTAGAATGATCACTATTCGTATTATATTGAAATCCAGGATATTCTATCTGACAGACTTGATGAGTTTAAGTAGGACTAAGGCTCCCAATGGCTACGGATTCCTGGCCTGACACAGGTAACAAGGAGGGAGGAGAGGGCGAGCAAGCGAGTGCGAGTGTGAGTGCGCGCGTGGGCAGCAGAGCTTGCGGCAGGCGGTAGGCCCGGCACTGCTGCTGAGGCGCACGCAGGAAGCCAGGAAGCGGGGACCGGCGGAACGCAGGACGCGGTGACGACAACGCCGGACGTGGTGACGTAGAGCGTAGGCCGCAGCGGGGGGCGGACTCTGGGCTTTTCTTCCCCTTCTGATTTTCCCCTCCCCCCTTTTCTCCCTTTCCGGGTTTGGTTCCCCCCTTTTCTTTCCCTCTCCCCCCTCCTTCCCAAGTCCCTTTCCCCTCCCCCCGCCCCGGTCCCCCCTACTTCCCAGCCTTAGAGCCCGAGGAAGCCTCTGCCCAAGAAGAGCCCGCCCCCAGCAGCGCGCCGCCGCCGGCCGTCGGGGCCGAGCGGCAGCCGAACGGCCGTGGGCCCGGGCGGCAGGCGGAGACGCGGGCGCCCTCCCCGCTACGGCCCGTGCGAGGTGAGGCCACCTCGCGGCCGAGGGGGCGGGCGGCCCTGGCGGCCTGTGGGGAGGGGGGCGTGGCGGCCGCGCGGGCAGGCGCGAAGCGGCCCGGCGGCCTGGGTTCCCCGCGCTGGGGCAGCCGAGGCCCGGGGGCGATGGGTCAGCGTCGGAGGGCCCTGGGAAGGACTGTTCCAAGTATACGCAGCTGGAGAGAAGCCGGCGGTGCGGGGCAGGGGGGTGGCGCCACTTGTGGCCTGTGTGGGGTGGGGGGGACTTAAAAACTGTTGCGCCCTTGCTGTGCTTAGAGGTGGCTAGCTCCGTGAGTTTCTTGGGTGGCCGTTTTCCTTCGAACATAGAGCATGGAAAAATAGGACGGAGAGGTGTAGAAGTGTTTAAAATCATGTGGGTCTCCAGGTTTATTACGGGGACAGGGATTTAAGTTGGCACATACAGGGAGATGTTTCTATAGCTTAAAACTTGGGCCTACGCTAAGCTCATAACTTGCTCGAGTCCCTGAAAACGCTTCAATTTGTTTTCCCTTAGAGCCAACGTTTTTCAACATTTGTGGTCATTAGCCTAGGAACTACCGAATGCTTGTTTTCTCAGAGTGAATTGTCCTTAGATAATTAAGAGAAATTACTGAGTAACAATCCCAGAACTGTGTTAAAACCGAAGAAAGAAAAGTGGAAAAGTTTAAATTCAGACCCCAGTTGGATGAATACCCTTGTACATATGTTGTTCAAATAGATAACTAAGATTGAGAAGCCCGAGTCCTGTCTGATGTTCGTAAGCAAAGATTGAGAAGCCCGAGTCCTGTCTGATGTTCGTAAGCAACGTGGAGATTCAAGAAAGGAGGAAAGTGACAGGTTTCACTTCAGGAATATCACCAATTCCTAGTATTTTATTGTATTTTAGATAGATTTGCAGTTGAATAATTTGTGGTTCTTCTTCCTAATGCTTTTTTTTTTTCGTTTTCTTCCTCCAATATTCTCCCTCCCCACCTCCCAACCCCTTTTTGATGCTGGGGTATCAAGACAAAAAGGTTTTTTTTTTTTAAAGACGGTCTCACCGAGGATGGAGTGCCATGGTGCCATCTCAGCTCACTGCAACCTCTGCCTCCTGGGCTCAAGCGTTCCTCCTACCTCAGCCCCACAAGTAGCTGGGAGTACAGGGGTAAGCCATCGTCCCCAGCTAATTTTTGTAGAGACGGGGTCTCACATTGCTGCCCAGGCTGGTCTGGACTCCTGAGCTCAAGTGATTCACCCGCCTTGGCCTTCCAAAGTGCTAGGCGTGAGCCACCGCGCCTGAAAAGACAAAAAGTTTAAATAGTGGTGAAAAGTGGCAGGTTAGATTAATTCAGTTCAGTTTTTAGTTGTATTTTTCTTCCCCTGTTGCTGTTCTTCAGAGGGTTGAGAGAACAGGAAACTTTTCTTGAAGGCCTGATGAACTCTTAACGAAAGTTAAATTTCAGAGTTGCAGTTCCAGTTGTCGTTGTGTCAATTATATGATCAGTAGAGCTTCACAATTTTTTCTTTGTAGAGATGGGATCTTGTTATGTTGCCCAGCCTGGTCTTGAACTCCTGGCCTCAAGTGATCCTCTGGCCTCAGCCTCCCAAAAGCACTGGGATTACAGGCACGAGCCATTACGCTTGGCAGAGTTTCACAATGTAAAGTTTTTCAAAATTTTAAAAATAAAAATAGCATGCCTGACTGGCCAGGTGCAGTGGCTCACGCCTGTAATCCTACACTTTGGGAGGGCAAGGCAGGTGGATAACCTGAGGTCAGGAGTTCGAGTCTAGCCTGGCCAACATGGTAAAACGCTGTCTCTACTAAAAATACAAAAAGAGCCAGGCATGGTGGCAGGCACCTGTAATTCCAGCTTTTTGGGAGGCTGAGGCAGGAGTAAAACTTGAACCCAGGAGGTAGAGGTTGCAGTGAGCTGAGATCATGCCACTGCACTCCAGCCTGAGTGACAGAGTGAGACTCTTCTCTCAAAAAAAAAAAAAAAAGCCTGGTATTATTTAACGGAAAATTAAGAGATAGCTGTCTTTTTCAAAATAAAAACCAATTTTGCCTGTCAGGCTCTAGATCTGTGGCACCCTTTTTCCCCAACATGCACACTGGCCTCTCGCTGTTCCTTGAACACACTAGGTACACTTCTACTTCAGAGTCTATGCTGCTGCTGTTCCCTTTTCCTGGATTACCTTTTTTTTTTTTTTTTTTTGAGACGGAGTTTCGCTCTTGTTGCCCAAGCTGGAGTGCAGTGGAATGATCTCAGCTCACTGCAACCTCTGCCTCCTGGGTTCAAGTGATTCTCCTGTCTCAGCCTCCGGAGTAGCTGGGATTACAGGCAAGTGCCACCATACCTGGCTGATTTTGTATTTTTAGTAAAGATGGCGTTTCACCATGT